CCTTTTCAGGATGTCGTTGTTCCGTGCTACAACACTGCGACAGCCAAGGATCAGGATATGGCATGTCTGGGCACTGTCAATGTACAACTTGCCTGATTGCCAATTCGCCGCATGAACCAAAGTCCTGGAAGCGCATCTTACGCGTTACCTGGGATTTTCGGTAAGCAATGTATGGTTGGCGGCACAAACCAGTGCTTACCCTGAGCCAATGTCCACGATAATAAATTGTATGGGTGGTATCTGAATGTCAAACATCCTCAATAGTAAGCGACCTGGCGGCTCGTAACTTCCGTAAAACGATGAACGTACCAACGCTCGGAATGATTGCCACTGAAAGGTCTCAGGGTCATTGAAACAAGTAGTCAATCGTACATGCGTACCTTTACGCTTCTTCCGGTGGCTATCAGCAGAAAACCCCGTGTCTTCCTCTTCCTCGTCGTCTTCCAAATCGCCAGTTGTTTTCTGCGTCATGCCATGACGAGAGATGGACCGTGTCGTGATATCAAATTCTCGACTGCGGCCCCATGCGGGTTGCTGTAAATGCAGTGATTAGTTGTCTCAAGTTACTCAGCCATCCGGAGCCGTGCACTAGTAACCTTGGACAGCCAGTGCATAAGCCTACCGTGCATGCACTGCGTCAGACACAGCCATTGTGATACTGCGCCAGGCGTACGCACCAGTCATACGGGTAGTCTTCTTGGCTGAAATGCGCAGTGAGGAAGAATGCTGCAAAGACAAGGCTCAGACTGTGGAAGACTTCGTGAGGCCGGAGCACCAACGTACAGTCTACAAAACCATTCCAAGCCGACACAGAAGCCCGACGGGCGGTCTCAACAGTGCCACCTATGACCACAAGTTTCTGCGGGAAGTCAGTCAGTACACGATCGCCATGGCCGAAGTCGTGGCAGAAACTCACCAATGTGTCATGAATAGGACTAGAATTGGTGGTGAGCGGCGTCAGTAGGTTCATGAGCGCGTTCATGGTGTCGAATACAGCTTGCGAGCGCTGTTTCACAGTGAGAGTGGGGGTCTTCGGGAGGCCTTGGGGCTTCAGGGCTTTATGCTCTGGGACGTGGAAGAAATAGGGCCTCGTGTACGCTCGGGTAGTTTGTCCGGTATTGAAAGCACTTGTTGATGAGTACATAAAGACGCCACTAGCAATCTGGATTTGAACGTTCTCCAGATCCAGATTTCAGTGCGTGCTACGAGCGTGCCGCACGCTGATCAACGACTTCTGGATAAAGCCATTGCATCTGGAAACTGACGAGAAGGTGTCTCCTTCGACTTTCGACCTAAATCAACAAAGAGATTCGTTTGTCATCAAGTCACCGCATTCCGCGTAGCGCGAGTATACGGCGCACGAGCTTTGAGATAAACGACGCCACTAGACCAGCACGACTTGTTCAGTACGGAGTTAAGTAAGAGTGGCAGAGGAGAAAGGGCGCAACGAGCTGTGTTTGAGGACGGATTTTGCCAAACATGGGCGGTCACATCAAGCCTCGTGTATTCCAAGATCGGCCCCGTGCCCATCTACGAGTAAAGTCGGAGTGGCGGTAGATAAAAATGCTCTACTTGTCTCACAATTCACATTCGGAAGCGCTGGTGAAGCCGGAGGTTTGAGCAAGGTCCGTTCAACGATATCAGGTACAGGTGCACTCTGCAGTTTGAGGCGATGAGGGGTCGACAGTTTCAGGTATACGCGTCGAAATTATTAGGACGCACATGCAGAGGAGTGACGCTCTATTTCCGCCTGAACGTGTCCACTTTTGCATCGTGTGATAATCGTCTATTGACCAACACAGGAGAGAACCCTTAAGCTTGCAAGTACACGATACCAACAGTCGGTTGACGCTATAATGAACAGGGACGCGCCAAGATCGCAGTCGCAATGCGGCGTATGGGTTTGTCGAACCTGATGGTGAGAACACATGTTAGCTGCATGTACAGTTTTGCGGGTCGAGAAAAAGCTTAATCATGCTGGTCTATGACGATAGAGTCGGCATAGTACGTCGATATTCATATTGATGAGGTAGGTCCTGACACAAGCTCGCAGGAAGGAGAATAATCATCTCCCGCGACACGTAAGAACGGCGTCATAAGGGAAGAGGTGAGTTGTATACTTTCCGGCAATAAAGAGGACAATACGGCGTCGCGCTATCCAGAGCCATGGATGTCGTGGGCATTCGAACCAGCAATGTCCGTACCCTGAATGTAAACTGTTTGAATTAGCGGCAAATGTCTCGTTCCAACGGCGCACGCTGACAAAAACACCGAGAGCATAACTGTTCGGGAGAAGACGTTATCACAAACTTTTGCCCAAGGACACATCCCGGTTCTGCAGATTGAAAAGGTCCGGTGTCCTAGTGGGTTATTGCGTAGAACTTCAGTAGCCCGTCATGTCCTGTATACGGCCTCGTGATGAGTGTGGCCTCCAGGAGACCAAACGAGCACACCGCGAGCCAAACGGGTGGGTTGCTTAGCCCAAACGGCAGAGGAATATGTGTCGACGACAGATCTGAGCCGCAGCAAGGCCGCTGTGATGGAGAGACACATACGTCCGGATCTTGCAAACCGAAGACATGCTCGAAATGCCATGCGAGTATCGAGTGATCAGCGCGACCTGACTAACATCCCACATCCTATTTTCCAACAGAGAAACTAAGCTGTACGACTGGGAATTGTGATATCGAAACCCTAGACTCACAACTAAGAGTCCCTGAAGACCTACCAGTTCAACATGTTGACGACCAAGAACTGTTGCAACTCCCGCAAGATCATGCTTCGTTTCTTCTGCTTTGGGAGATGCAAGGAACCAGGGTGATATCGTGGACTAGCTGGGCTTGAATCTACGCCGCCCATAACGGGTTGCGTCACTTCACATCCCTTGGCGCGGCCAAGTATCCTGAAATGGCTTGATGAGTATTTGGGTTGTGGGAGCTTCGTGCGTTAGGGTAGAACGAAAGTGCCGCAAGATGTAAATCGGAGTCGAGTGAGGAGTTGAAGACATTGGTTGGAGGACAAGAAGCTATGCCTCCGAGCGTTCACAATCGATCGCAACCTGGAAGTGATATGACATCTGATCTGTCAGAGAACAAAGCATTGATAGATCAGCATGGAATCTAAGGATACTCACGCCTCTTACTGGTGGTCCTCCAGTGCTCTGCGGTCCCGTATGCGTTTGGGACTGTATCCAGTATTCTGGCGCAAGCTAGTGTTAGACCATAAATAGGGCGCATTCATGCATCATCGACAGGGTCTGGCGCCAGCTGGGTTTTCTGAGTATGTGAGACGATTCCGTCACTCACACCTGTATGGCAGTGGTGAAAACAGCCAGCAAGCAATTGGCGCATTCTGGAGGCAATACTCACCCTCGACAGGTGGCAGTTTCCAAATACGACTGCGCTTGTCAAGACGACCGCTCGGAGATTTCATGTAGACACTGCGGCTGCATTCAAGCCACTGGCGACAATATGCTTTATGCGACGAACGGGGGTTACTGATTGGAAGCGCGCACTGATGCTCGATACCCGCACTTGGTAAGGGTTTCGCGAATGGGGTCGTTCGATAGCGCGGTTGCTTTGTGAGTACTCATGTGGCACCCGGATTGGAGAGATGTCGTATACAACCTGAGGGTGCAAGCTGAGACAGGTAGTACCTGCCAATTTCAATAGAGGTTGCAGGTGACGAAGCCACTCACCTGAATGTGCATTCACCTCTTGGTTACCATTGTTACTACACCTCATTGTGATGATCGAAGACAGCACCCTCGAGGTTCAAGCCATTGCGGTATCTACGCCATACACAATCACCTTTGCTATTTGAGTTGCGACTGGACTGACGCCTATTGAACGTGTCTTCGTTCGTCTCTGTTCAACGCGCAAGCTTTGAGGTCGTCGTACGATACCCATACGGCAGTTACGAAGCACATTCAGCTGAGCCACGAGCTTGTGAGCTGGACACCAGAGATGAGATAGCGAGAGTGGTGGGCGGTGCCGAAACATGCCACAAAGCGAGGGCCAGAAGTCATGGATGAGGAGCGGTCGTGTGAGCATGCAAGATGTCAAAGGTTCCAAATACCATGCGTTCGCCTGAGTAGGCAAAGGACGCCGTCCATTACATGTTACGAAAAGGATGTACACACCGAAAAGACAGCTGAGCATGAAATGGGTAAAACGAGGTAGATTTTATGCTATTGGTGCCCATTTGTTCCATTCAGCTGTTGCGTAGCGTGCAGTCGTCCAGGTTCCGATTCCTCCACGGGTGACGGTTGTGCTGGGACCATTTCAGGCACTATCGGCGCGTTCTGAGCGGTATAGTGTAGGGGGACGGGGTCGTGTTGCAAGTAGTGCATGAGTGTGGGCTGTCCCGGTACTGCGATGTCAACCGCATCAAGGAGAAGGCTGGCAGGAAGACGGGTTAGGGGATGGGCTTCACTCTATAGACAAGAAATTGGTGACCCACTTGCATTCGTTTTGCAGGTTCCGAATTTTCTCGTTTGCCACAGCGAGTTCTTGCTTGTATTGCTCGTGCGTCTGGTCATGGCAAAGGTATGACAATGTGGCAATACGAGTGCGACAATACTCACCGTAGTGACTTGCTCATACCTCTCCTTCATGGCAAGGAATCTATCCACCCACTCTATCAGTTTCGGCCGCCGACGCCATCGAAAGTTTCGCCTACTTGTCCTTGTGTCTGGCTACCCTCTGAGCGGTGGGACCCTACGTTGAAAGAGATGATAGGGAACCTCTTCGTCGAGTAATTGAAGTTGATCGTGCGTACCGCTTGAGCCGACAACACGGTAATTTTTGCAGGATCTGCCTTGTCTATACGAGGCGTACCTCTTCCAGAGTTAGTGTGTTCATATTGTTGGCGAGGCTCCATCGGTTATCGAGCAGTGCAATAAGCTGGTGGAGGTTGCAAGTTGAGTAAACTCGGCAGTCTGTTTTGTTTGGAACTCTATATATACTCTGTGATTCGCTTCAGGCTAAGGCGGACTTGGCGCATTGCGTAGCTCAGTTGGTAGAGCGCAGGGCTCAACGAGAGTTTCTGAGGGCGCGGGTTCAATTCCTGCCGCATACGCAGACCTAGCGCGCGAGGTGCTGCGTGGCAAGACCGCCTTTTAATAGGGTCGCTCAGAGTTGGCCGCAGTCCGCCGCTCCGGCGTCCATCACCCCAAAGAGGAAGGTGATGTAAGCAGTCACAGTCTGTCACAAATGTGCTTGCAATTGTTGTGGGATTTTTTTGCTTGTGCTCAAGTAGCTTACATAGATCAGCCTTCAGAATAAAGAAACATTTCATAGTTATGAACCACATCAAGAAATACGAGGTTTAAGTAATAAGAAAGCTAGACTGTTACATCTTCGTGACTACCTAATGCGACAAGCGCCCCTCGGACCGGTTCAATAGCCGGCGCTGCGATCTGCGAGCGGCGGCGCTGCGCCAACTCTGAGCGACCCTATTAAATCCATGATCGACAGCATGTCACTTCTGGTGCGCCGTGCGTCTTGTTACTCTCTTGCGTCGTTTACCTCATATTATACCCTAATACTGTCTCTTCTCAGTCAAAGAAACACCACTAGGAGTACAAACTTCCTGAATTCTGCCAACGGCGGCGAGTCCGTCTCGTAGCCTGTGTCGCTCTTCAAGCTTCAAGCTTCATGCCTCAGGAGAAAAGAGACGCAATATGTTTTGGGAAAGGCGCGTTCAAGAGTTGCTGCCTCCGCAAACATCCAAAAGACTGACATTGCATCGACTTGAGTGTTGCAGCATGCTTCAGTCCCGGCGTGCCTGCCGATATTCGGAGAGCATGGAGTGCGTAGAGTCCCTGTAGGCCGGCATTCGAACGTTTACATACCACCACACAGCTGAACATGGCGGTACTGCATGTACCTTGAAGGAGGCGACGCTGGAAGAGCATATTCGTTTCTTCTGCTATGGACGGACCGACCTTTGGTACGCGGGGTAAGTGCCAACCAGTTTTGGCTGGGATTTCACTGATTGCGAACCGCATATAGCCTCTCTGCGAATACAATGGCGGTACGTGCAGCATTCGTCATAAGCATGAACCGAATCTGACGAACACAAGGATAGATATTTCACGCCAACTGGATTCTCAGGGTCATCGAAGCGAACTTTATGCTGCCTATCGCACCGTTTGTTCTGAACTGTAAGAGTTGTCATACTTGAGTTGGGATCATCACCTGAGGTGTTTCGTCGCTAGCGGACCGTTTCGCGTCTTTCACAACGCACTGTATCAAGACTACACTTGACGAATTCAGTGTGCAATCGAACCTTGGCTGCAACTACACCTTGAAAGAAAAAGCATCGCTTTATATACCCACAGAGTCGTCTTACGCAGGCCGGTATTCTACAACTCCGCCTCGACAAATACTGGGCGTACCCGAGTCGCCTCCCGCCCTTTCGTCAACCCCAGCAAAGCGCATAATCGACTCTTACCTCGAGCGTCAGAAGTCAATGAAGAAGTCACGTCTCTTGCCGGAACTACAAGAAAATGAAAATTCGGAGCTGTCTATAGAACAGTCGGGTGTTGAAAAGCCATCGCGGGCTACAACTAGTCCAGACATCTCTGGTGACACGCTTGTATCAGTGCCGCATATCAACCTACTCGAAGTCGTTCAGAAGAAGCGTAATTCGTTACCTCGTCTCCGTATCCTTCGTTCGAACGCTGGAAAGCAGAAACTACTTCATCCGTACGTCTCGACAGCATTTTGACCAAACTCTCTTTGTCAACTCACTCGTGCGTTCTTGGCCAGTATACTGCCACTTGAACCGGGGGAGACTGACAACGATCTCCCGCGCGTCTTCATGTCTGCAGCTCGCGCAGCCCTTCAAGACATTCAGATTCAGAAATCCGTCGTCATCCGTGCCCGTGAGCCTCATTTAGGCAAGAGCTTTGACTTTTCAAAATCGAGAACAAGGCATCTCCGTATCTAAGGAAGCCCCATTCTATAGGGGCAAGCTAGGGGTACCGAATGCTTTGCATCTACCCGCTCAATTTCGGCCGGATTCCAACACTTCGACGTCTTTCGAATCGTTTGAGACTTTACTTGCATTTTACAGATCGTCGACATATATCCTGGCCAACATCACCCATCGCATTTTCCACCATCGCCCTATGAGATGAAGTGAACCGCGCAAACAGTATCATCATCACGTACCGCATCGAACTCGCAGCATCCATGTACAACATCCCCACCTGTAACTCTATCGCATACTCGCAGATTCAACCAAACGCACACATGTAGCACATATCATCCTGTATTTGTAAATTTATGCTATCGTATCCGGCAAGAAATCAATCACGCCTCATTGCATTGCATTTCTCGTGGTTCGCGGTCAATGACCTTTCGTCGTGAAAAGCCGGAGCACGGCCGGCGTTGTCGCGGTAGCTTCACCGACGAGCGCCTAATACTTTGTACCAACTTCTGTCCACGACCTCGAGCGAGTTTCGTCTGCTAACGTCCTTCAACAATGGCATCGAGGATCGCCGTAAACACTCTTCGAGCAGCAGGTGAGCATCAACTGCATGAAAGTCCATGTCTCGAGGCTGACGTCGACGCGGTATCGCGACCAGTTCGCCCGCAGGCGGTCGCTGCCATTCCTCGGGTCCTCGCGGCGTACGTGCTCTTCAGTATTATCTCTGCAGCATGTCTTTTGCTTACGTTCCGTGTTTTTTGTTTTCGTTTTCTTTGCATCGGAAAATGTCTTGGGTAGTCGCGGAATGTCGAGCTCGTCCACCCCTCCCCCCAACGAACGTGCCTCCGAGCTCATCAACAAACTCCCATCGTCTCCCAACCTCGTCACCAAGACTGGCGCAGCGATCCTCGGAAGCGGTCTCATCGCCACCGCTATCTCACAGGAGCTCTATGTCATGAACGAGGAGACCGTCATACTTGCTGGCTTCGTTGTTCTCATTTCTTTCATCGCCAAGGTGCGTTGCAGAACATACCGCGTGTTTGCCGAGTTCTGCTCACGTGTGTCTGTGTTACGCGTAGTCGATGAAGGGACCATACAGTGAGTGGGCCGAGGGCCACATCGGTCGTATGACCTCCGTATTGAACGAGGCTCGCGCACGTCACACGCAATCCGTCAAGGACCGCATCACAGGCGTCGAGAAGATGAAGGACGTCGTCTCCCTCACCGAAGGTCTCTTCTCAATCTCCAAGGAGACTGCCCAACTCGAGAGCGAGATCTTTGTTCAACGCCAAAAGGTCGCTTTGGCCGCGGAGGTCAAGGCGGTGCTGGATAGCTGGGTGCGCTACGAGCAGCAGGCAAAGGAGAGCGAGCAGGCGGATCTTGCGAAGAGTGTCATCGCGAACGTGCTCAAGAGCATTCAGGACGACAAGGCACAGCGTGACATCCTTGCAGGTGCTGTCGCCGAAGTTGAACGTGAGTGTTGGACCCCTTGAAGTTGGTTATATTTTATTTTGAATTGACTCATTGAATGTACAGAGCTCGTCAAGAGCAAAGCGATCTAGATGGCACCATTTGAGTAGGACTGCTCCGCTATAGATTACCTCTGAGGTGTATCAACTCTGGACTGCCGTGCCACGGGTTGCTTAATGAAACTCTGACCTTCGTTTGAAGCCTTGCCGCCGCTGTGTATCAATCAACAGAGATCTATCAATTGAGAGAACCATGGACCTGTGGGGTTTCGCGTTCTTTGTTTTGCAAGTTGCAACGCTCGCTCGGGACGATGATTGATGTCGCTCATACCGTGCAGAGTCCATGGCGCTTCGCCATTCTGGATTTTTTTTATTTAAATGTTTATTTTATTTTTATTTTTGGCAGTTTCGAACTTCCCTTGTCGTGCAATGCGACATGGTTCAGCCTCACCGGGGTTTTGTGCCCCACACGCACGCACGAGTGGCAATTGGCATAAAAACGGTGGTGAGCTAGGAGAGGCAAGACCGCTTTCCATTTTTTTTCCAATGTACGCAGGGGCTTATGTAAGTTATGTCAACATCTCAACATTGTACTACCGTACTCACAAGGAGCTTGAGAGTTGTATAGGTGGAACACGGGCTTTCAGGTGCAAGCTCAAAAGCAGGCATGCCCGGTGAATTGAACATACAGAGACAGAAACAAATGGAAAGCGACCGCAAAGTCGGGTGGTGTATTCCAGACACCAAATTTACAAAAACTGCAACGTTGATTATTGGTTTTCACCACATGTCTGAACCTAGACCTGGAGTCAACACCGTCTCTCTTCACCCCAATCACATATGTATCTTGCATCGCGCAGCGGGTACTCGCAGCCCTTGTCGGATCGGCCTACCGCACGAACTTGGCGATGGGGATAATTAACCCTTTTAACAAGCTCATTTGGCAAGACTCGGATGTGCAGCTTCTGTGAGTGATTGCAAGATCCTTGCCAGTGGGCCAAGGGGCCCGTCATTCCCGTGATAGGCTGGCACGCAGTTGGTGGTGATGTTTCTTGATCAGTTTAGGGGGATGTAGGTGGGTTGACAAACATTGATATCAAGGGTTGACTGGGGTATAACCTAGAGTTCAGGTCTCAAACCGTCAAGCCACTGGGCCACTACATACCTAGGTGGATGGCGAGCTGCTCGAGGTACCATGGAAAGAAGAGAAACTCAAAACTCGATTATCCTGCTCGCCTCCCACTATTGCTCCCGTCAACAATCGGACTTGCCTCTGTGTCCATTCCGCTATGGTTCAAGTCGACTTTGTTGTAGGACAAGATGTCTGTGGTGCCGTTTAGGGGCGTGATCTTGGTGTGGTGGTAGACTCTTCGGCTGGGGGAGGGAGGGAGGGGAGGGATCCTGATGTGAAGCTTCGCTTGCGGGGGACGGACTTGTATGAGGACGAGGACCAACGGCTGTGCTTGGGCACGGCGTAGTGGTAGGCCAAGTAAACGTAGCGTGCATTGTGTTTGTCCTGAGGAGTGAGCTGGAATGGTTGGGAGACGTGGAAATGGTGGTAGGTGTGGTGAAGGCTTATGTAGGGCGTTCTGGTGGAGGTCGGCTTAGGAAGGACCTGTTTGTCGTTATTAAAGAGACGGATATAGGTTGATGGGAGAGGAGACTTGGTCTTCA